GTAAACGTTTAAATTCTGCACACTTGGGCACACACAGTTGTATGCTGTCAATAGGGAACCATACGGTGTACAGCTGCTACACGTTTCGGAAGTGTCGAAATTTTAAACACCAATTGACGTATATCTAAGTTAGACATTATTAAGTGTCGAGAAAATGCACACTTGAACTTAAACGTCAATTGACGTGCAAAATTAAACACTTGTTTTACCAGTGTGTTCATCGCCTATAATATTACAAGCAAAATTCAGGAAACCAGCCAGAAATTCCATCCATTCTTAAAATTATAGTCGGGTACGCGGTGCAGGAGCACAGTAATCTGTTTTACGTGTACGGGTGGTGGTGTAGCACTCACACGTTCTCCTGATCTCCGTGCCCAATTTCACAAAATAGACTAAAGCACTTGCTTACAACACTTTCACCATGTCAAGAGTGTGCTGATTTACTTGACCTCTTAAGTCAGTATGTCTGCTGCTTAAAACAATTATAAGATACTGACAAGTATGCGTCTTTTTGCATTGGTGGCAATTTTTTCTTTAATCATTAAGTTTAATACAAAAATATATTTTGTCACTTAATATATTTGTGCCTATAGACAACAAGTATACACAATAAGTAAAATATAAGTCAACGATGTCAAAACGAATCCAGACTACACTGGTAAAACAAAGTCGTGCCTTTCCTGGGGCACTAAACACATTTTCAGTTTAGTGCCTCACAAAGGCACTAAACAGGGCACTAAATTGCCCAAAAGGTGCTAAAAAGTAGTGCATTTGGCAGTAGTTTTGAAATTGCACCCGGGCGGAAGAATGTTAAGTTTTAAGTACATCGCAGTACTCCACTTTTATTTTACGTTGTACTCTATTTAATGTGAACATTTTTTTCAAGTCATACTTTACTCATTGTTTTGGAAAAGTCCACCTCTAAAGTTTACATTTTTTTCACAAATTGTAAAGAAATGTGAAATAAATGTTTAGTTTAAGTGGACAAATGTATACTAAAAGTGTACTAAAAGTACCACTTTTTTCGGCAAAGTACACTTTTTAGGGTACTTTCCGGAAGTTTTCATACACTTAAGGTATAGAGTTCGAAATACTCTAGAATACATTTCTAATTATGATTCAGTTCACAAAAAAGGATGCACTTGACTACACTTATTTGAACCCCCTCCCCCAAAAAAGTTTCTTTTTCTTTTCGGCTTCCTCTTTCCTCCCTCTCTCTTCACATCTTTTCTGGTGAATTTTCGTTGATTTCTGACTCGGCTGCCGGCGGGAGTTGAACCTGGGACCTCGGACCTGTGAACAGACGCATTAGACCACTCGGCTAAACTGCCGACGTGGCTGAATGGCGTCAGCTACCCGGTCATATACCAGAGGCCCCTGGAGAGGTGGAGTCAACTAACTAGTGTACATTAAGTGTACTTTTAGCATACTTCTGATAAAACTTGGTTTTACCTACTATCAAGGCATTTAACGGCAGCCTTTTTTTGGAGCTTTTATTCGCCAAGCGTGGTCGTAAATGACGATAAGGTTAAAGAGAGTTTGAGATGTAAGAAAACGATAACTTTCACTTATGCAAGTAACAAAGTCCACACTGTACTGTGATGTTTGCCGTTAAAATGCATACAAAGTGGATTGAAAGTAGTATTGAAATGTGCTGTGAAGTGCACAGTTCTGTCAACTTTTAAAAGTACTCATAGGTAATTAATTGTAAGCACTATTGTGTACAATATTTGCACTTAAAATATCAGCTCGTAGGTGAATATCAAAGTACACTAAAAGTCCACGGAAACTACTCTAATAAGTTGTCCTTTCTGTGTACAAACGAGTTAAGTTGGCCATCTACTAAAACTTTTCATTCCTAATATTTTCGAAGTACAGTTAGGAAGTATACGTTGACATGTGTACTTCAAAGAACACTTAAAGTTAAGACCCTTCCGCCCGGGCACTATACCCTTATTGCCTTTTAAAGGTAGGACTTAGCACCTTTGTTTTTTCAGTGTAAGACATGGAACTGAACGGTCCGGTCACTAAGGGCTTTAAAAATAAGTAAACTAGTGCAATATAGATAAGATGTATTCGATACCTTAGACTAAAAAGCACGCAGGTCATCCGCGCGTTTCGAAGGGCACGCAGTTCAGCCGCCCGTTTCGAAAGACACGCAGTTCAGCCGCGCATTTCGAAAGACACGCAGTTCCTATCTCTATAGCGTAAACTGCGTGTCTTTCGAAACGCGCGGCTGAACTGCGTGTCTTTCGAAACGGGCGGCTGAACTGCGTGCCCTTCGAAACGCGCGGATGAGCTGCGTGCCTTTTAGTCTAAGGTATCGTATTGCGCGGGTGGTCAACACCGAGGTTAGCAGTAAACACATGTTTCACTTTTTTTACAGTCTCCCCCCTCTCTCTCTCGCTTTCATTCGCACACACACTCTGCGCTGGAGGTGGTACTGGAGCCTGCTCTGGAGCCTGCTCTGGAGCCTGCTCTGGAGACGGCTCTGGAGCCCCCCCGTAGGAAGGTGGTGGCGGTAAACAGCGCGCGCCGCCGGTCTGGAGATAGAGTTTCCGTCTCCG